CCCCAAAACCCCAAAACCCCAAAACCCCAAAACCCCTTCAAATAAAATAATATTGTAAAAATAACATGACTTCTTCACTTGAAGAGCTAGCCTTACAGTACAAGATGACGGAGAAGGAGTCTCAAATTGAACTGCTTCACCAAAGTGCAGATAATTTCATGTGAAATACCACTGCCGATACTATAGGTAAGTAACTACAGAGATGGTGTAACAGCTGCTCAGATTGTTTCCTTTGAAATCCCTCATGTTATTCTGGCTGGTATGACTAACTTTTAGACCCACAGGAGAAATTCACCAAATGAAAGGAAATATACACACAAATTATAGATATTTCCTCGGATGACTACCTTGCAAATTTTAATCTGGGTGTTCTCTACTTTACAAATTATAAGACTTCAAGCATCCCAGATTTTGATTTACTCCATACAGCACTAGAATATCTCCAAAAGGCAGAGAAATCTGACCGAAATTCTTCGGTGTTGTTCAACATTGCCTTGGTAGAAACCGAGCTTGGAAATATAGAACATGCTATGAAAACCTATCAAGAAATACTAGACCTCAACCAGCAATATGATGATGAGTGAATTCAAGAGGATATTAAGGCTCAAAATCAGATCATTTATAATAATTTAGCTCTTTTGGCTAAGAACCAAGATAATATGTACCAAGCTATCAAGTACTATAAGGAAGGACTTATGCTTGATCCTAAGAATTTCATCTTTCTATATAATATCAGCCTGATATTTATTAAAAGCGGCAAGTACAGTCAAGCTATCAAATTTCTCAATAAAGCGATACTCTGTAAGTTCATGCAGCTCATTCATAGACCCAGGTGAGCACAAGCCCAATGTTGCTTACAAAATTCTAGCAGAAGCATATGAGAAGCTTGGGAAATATGATGAAGCTCTTAAAACGTATCGTTCCTTAGAAACATTAGAGGGCAGCACAAAGGACTTGTCCCAGAAAATCACTAGAATCGAGAACATTATCCTCAGCGATGATAAATTTTCCCTCTCTGAAAATGAAGAGAAGAAGACTTGCAAGAGTATTAAATTTAAAGACCACGAAAAAGATTCAAAATTCTCAAAAGCTCTCGAGGCCATTTGATCTACAGATACTATAAAATTTAGTGAAGAGGAGAAGCACAAGGAACTTTTATCCAACATCGATGAAATAAAGGAGAAAATACTTGATAATGAGTCAAACATGCTTATCTGAATTAACCCTCCAGACACCTCAGAAAAGGAATCAGACAGTAAGCACTATGAGAACTGGAGTCAAGACAAATGCAACGACATCTTAATATCCCAGCCTAAGAACAAGTACGCGTATTTCCGTCTTGGATGCTTAAACCTCGCCACGAATCCCATCAAGGCAAGGGCTTGCTTAAAAGAATGCCAAGAAATCGACCCAAAATTCCGCCCCGGCGACTGAGCCGAGCTGATCGCCGACTCAATCATCAATGATGAAAAGAACGAAAACTCTGAAGCACTGCCGTTCTATGAACAGGCTGGCAAGACCAGCCCAGAGAAAATCTCTGCCCTGGTCAAGCTACACCGTCTGTAAGTTTTTGCAAGACATCGGGACCAAGCGATTTTCGAAAGCCAAAAATTGGGTTGATCCAAAAGGATTTGTGTGACAGTGCCTGGGATTTTAGAATTTGTGCAAGGGAGGATTAGGGAATTTTAGTGAAATATTGGAATTTTGAAGTATATGGGAGTCTAACGTAGAGGAGGGAATTTGATCATGTTTGATATTTATGCATATTTTATTGCTAAATTTGTAAATTTTTCAGAAGGTTTCAATACTGCATAGATCCGCATTTCAATTAGCAAATGATGAAAAGATTACAGAAGCGATAGAGGAACTTGAAAAGGCACGGAAACTTGATCCGAAAAATATTTATATTCTAAACAGATTAGGAGAGATGTATATGAGTATTGAAACTCCTGATTTCAATATTGCTAAAGAACTCATTTCAAAGTCGATAAAGCTATGCCCTTCATCCTCTGAATCTTACATTAGTCTAGGAAGAATCTATAGAAAATAGTGGGTAACCTAAAAGCTGCTGTGAAATGTTTTGAAAAGGCTCTCAGAAGAGCTTCAAACCCTTCAGAAGCCTATTTTCACCTTGCTGACGTATTTGAAAAGCTACAACAAAAAGAAAAATCAATAAAACTATATAAGCAGTGCCTTGCTAGAAACAAGAATGATTTCCGTGCATGAGTATTCTACGCTACTCTCCTAGTACAAGACAAGGATCAGAACCAAAAGGCAATGAAATATTACCGGCATGCACTAAAGCTCAGGCCTGACAACCAGTATGCCAAAATTATTGCTTCAAAACTCTTAATTTTTAATAAAAATACCAATTCTTAATTACAAAGTAGGGGTTTTGGGGTTTTGGGGTTTTGGGGTTTTGGGG